TTTAGTGAAAGCAATACTTTTAAGTCATATATAATACATTTTTAAAAATTTTCGACACTAGGACTCCTTGAGAGGATTTACCGATTGTTGCACTAGTGTAACCTCTGCCCAGAAATGACTGATTTTAAGATATCACATATATGTTGTTCAATCTGCAATACTTTGTAACATGACCAGTATGTAGGCCCAGAAATGACTGATTCTAAGATATCACATATATGTTGTTCAATCTGCAATACTTTGTAACATGACCAGTATGTAGGCCCAGAAATGACTGATTCTAAGATATCACATATATGTTGTTCAATCTGCAATACTTTGTAACATGACCAGTATGTAGGCCCAGAAATGACTGATTTTAAGATATCACATATATGTTGTTCAATCTGCAATACTTTGTAACATGACCAGTATGTAGGCCCAGAAATGACTGATTCTAAGATATCACATATATGTTGTTCAATCTGCAATACTTTGTAACATGACCAGTATGTAGGCCCAGAAATGACTGATTCTAAGATATCACATATATGTTGTTCAATCTGCAATACTTTGTAACATGACCAGTATGTAGGCCCAGAAATGACTGATTCTAAGATATCACATATATGTTGTTCAATCTGCAATACTTTGTAACATGACCAGTATGTAGGCCCAGAAATGACTGATTCTAAGATATCACATATATGTTGTTCAATCTGCAATACTTTGTAACATGACCAGTATGTAGGCCCAGAAATGACTGATTCTAAGATATCACATATATGTTGTTCAATCCGCAATACTTTGTAATATGACCAGTATGTATACCGCTATGGTTGAAAATATTAATGGGATTGTCGAACTTGTTTCATGGCTCAAGTCAAAATATTTAGAAAATGCATGTGAGCTGTCCCTTGACACTTTCGTTTATCTATTTCTTTAAAATTATTTTGAAATTGAATCGAAATGCAAGAATATAGAGAATCTAGCTTTTACATCAGAACCCTACATCAGAATTTTGAGCGTGAAAGTCGTTTTGATCACGCTACGCTGCGAAAAATCAGAAACCGTTGGCAATTTGTGTGTTTATTCACAGTTTTACGATTTCGATATTTTTTGGTTCGTAGGCTATGTCTTCTCTTTTTACTTCAAACTTTCGTTTGAATTTTTCGTCCGGCCCTGCCCCCACTCTGGAAGACGCCATAAAAACACGACCAGCGGTAGTTTTCTGCAGCATTTGTGTTCAGGGGTCAATTCCATTTTGTGTATACAATTTTTGTTTTGCACAGCAATTAGTATAGACTGGATTATGAGTGGATTGTAATAACTTTATGGTGTTATTAAAAATTCGGAGCAGAGAAAAACTGTCCTCCCCCGAACCTTGAATTAGCTTTTCTGTTTATCTAGGATTCTAGGTGAACTGCGCCGCACTCAGATTTTCAAAACACGACTAAGTTTTAACTCAAGATTCGTTTTTAGATAGCTCTGTTCATATAAATTCCAACAGTTAAAATGGTCTGAATTTTCAGGCTCAAAATTTTAGCTACATAAATATATTTCTGAAAATTACGTGTTTTATCAAGATCAGCGTTATCATGTTCATAATTGTAAGTCTCAATTGCCTCTTTATCTGAATGTGTGGCATTACAAATACGCGCTGAGTTAACGCAATTTCTGCACAAATTCTACCCTTCGGCCTATTTGCAATTGTTCTGCTAGATCGCTGGAAATACAAATAGAAAATCTGAACTAATCTGAGACACTTCTCTATCATTCTAACCACGTATTCATGGCTAATATAACTTAATTTCATTTGATTATGAATCTAAATCATATCACTTGTGTATACATTGTATCACGCCTCCTAATCTTCTGTTCACAACAAAATTATTAAAAGCCAAATTTTTTCCTACTCGGCAAATTCCCATATACTGCATCGTAATAAACCTGATTGTACCTTATATATATGACATGGGAAACTCATAAACTACGTTATCTGCTCAATAAACCAACCTAATCAGCAAAACTAAACGGACGAATCTTAGCGAATTTAACAACCGAAATCCACTTCTGATGGAGGATGATGCACCTATGCTACACTAATTTTAAACCACCCCCTCATGAAAACACACCGAGGTTGCAATCAGTTTATAAAGTTTCTGTATACACTATTCTTTTGTCCCGTGCACATATATGACGAATTCGGTGTATATTAATTGGTATATTTGCTTAGAATATGACCATGGTTCACCAGTCTGACAATCACCGGAGACCGCATCTTGCAAAGACGCTTGCAGCGTCAACAAGCGGTGGCAATGCAAAATAGCAGTTGCATCGAACCAACTAAGTACCACAGCAGTACGTTGAGTGGAAAAAAGCATTCTGCGGCAGAAAATGTGGGTGGTAGCTAGTTTATAATATGTTGTTGCATACGTGTTACGCATTCCTGGGGAGGGTTTTAAATACTCGTAGCGATTATAACATTCGTTGAAAGAGCTGGATTTTTCAGCTCATCATCCACGACCGAGAAATCGGGAATGACTTCAAGAATGTCATGCTCAATAATTGCTATTTACGTAAACGATCGACTATTCATAATGCTTTTATCCGAACTACAATCATGCGGGATACAATTCGTTTGCCGTAAATAGAAACTTGATTAGATATATGTGTGTATATATATATATATATACATCTATTTGCTGCATTGAGGTCACATGCTCTTTTCAGTAAGAAATGGTATGACAAAATTTCACGCAGGTAATACAGTTTGTTTAAAATATAGTCGAGTTGCTGCCTAATCGTCGTCGCCCAATTCCGAGGAATCACTTTTTTTAGCCTAGTTGTGGAAATAAGGAACATTATTGGATATGGTCGACACCGCAAGAATAGATATAGTCCTTAGCTATTTAATCATTGTCCTTCATTAAAAACGTTCACAGCTACCGCTAAATGACTTGCTTGTAAGATAAATTAAACACCGGTTACATTTATATCCTGAAATGGCCGAGAACAGTGGGATTGCATGTTTTAAGGCGTGTCTTTGGACTGGCGCCTAGCCCAATTTACAGCATGATATGTTTTTTTTTTGGCGTCACGGTTGATCGCTCGCTGCATGACATTGTCTCGATCCGCCCGCTCGTTCTGATTGTCTGTATCTTCAATTCGCGATGCCCTCACACAAAAGTATAAAGAGTATTTGTGTATATACTGTACTGTATATACTGTATACTGTATATACAAAGTGTAACCTGAAAATAGATTCAATAGATATTTGAAAGTTATTCATAGTGGACTCTAGATAAGAGATGACAAAACTTTGATAATTTCCTAAATTGGATTGTCTAAGACAGTGGTCGGCAACCTTTTTTAATTGACGGACCGGTTTAGCCTGGCCAAAATTCTGACGGACCACCTTTATATAAACGAACCAAGCTTATGTAATGAATTCAAACGCGTTAGAAAATCTATGTTGACAATATACACAAAAACGAAGGTGATGATATTTATTGCGAGATCGGCAATTGTGCTATTGTTTCCAATCCGGAGATTGTATAAAACATCGATATTTAGCATCTTTTTCGAACCGCGGAACACTTTTTAGATTATGAATTTTTCGCGGAACAACAAACGAAAATTTCGAAATTTTGTGGAAACTATCCGAATAAGCAATAATCACTGTCATGTTTCGCGTAGGAATGAAATTACAGCAGGACCAATGACTCAAGTTGTAAAAAGACGCAACAAATTCATTACTTCAGAGAACAAAAGTACACTGAAGTACCAATGAAAAATATTTAAAACTGGCTGTTCGTAGCTGTTAATAGCAATGCAATTTTAATATGATATATATATATGAACTTGTATAGATGAGCACGCATCGTTTATTTTGGTCTGAATTCAGGAATGGCAAACACGTAGACACCTTCAATGGTCGTCTTTCTGGCGTCAAAAATTCTACTTGTACTTCTACTATTAAATGAATTTATTGCTTCTTTAGGGGTATTCTACGAGTCGGGTTTTGAATTTTCCCAGCTTTAATCAACTTTTATAATTCACATTACGAAAACGAGTCAATGTTCCCGAAAATGATTAAAAATGGAGTTTGAGCGATGATTAAATTTAAATTATTACGTTTCCGTTTACATTTAGCTGTTCAGTTATTGTTTCAACTTTCGGAACAACACGGAACACCAGCTTTCAGTCGTAGGGTTTGTAGATATTAGATTGTATATATGTTATCAGGGCCTTGTCTGTTTTTAGGTCATCTTTCTGCGGACCGGTAGTCACCTTTCCGCGGACCGGTGATGGGCCGCGTCCCGGTGGTTGCCGACCACTGGTCTAAGATGTGACGTATCGTGAGACTCGTAGTGATAACATTATCCCAAACTATTTCTTTGCATACGATATCTCAGAGCCTTTGTACTACATTATGACATGTCTCGCATCCTTAAGTACTTGAATCGATAACTAAAACCAACTTCTCATTGCTCCTGATAGAGCAGACACAGACTATGTATGACTAATAAGTCTCGTCTGAAGATTGCACATTTTATCAGAGTGAAATATAACATAACAGTGTCCCAAGTCCCAGATAAGTTTCCAGTGAATTATTGAAATACAATACGATAGCGGGAATTTTTTCCTGGTAATCCTCCAATTCTGGTCAACAGATAACCGGGTTAGAAAAGAGAAAATCATGATATATATTTGTAGCCACAATTTAGCAAAAATAACTACATGAAATATACCTAGGCCTAGAAACTGTCAAGTTTTTTTGCTCGAATTTCATATCCAACATTATGTGGCGATAGTTGAGGGTAATGTTAAAAATCACAAAAAGTTTCAGATTTTTTGCTCGATGGATTCATATAGAAAATAAAGCTCAAACTATTTGGGCGACTGCGAAATGCCGCCCGAATATTCCCGTCGCCATAATACAGCGAAAATAACCCCGTGTTGTCGACCAAACTCGGGCCTGTCATTATGACATATTGAAGTGGTACCTTGCTCCCTGACTCAGTTGAACCCCTCTTGAATGCGTTTGTTTACCAAACCTCAGTTCAATTACACATCGCTGAATAATGAAACGAACAGCAAACAAAACGGTTACATAAGAGATTTTACTTGATTTGAATTGCATGTAGTTTGTGGATGAATTTTAAAGAGATTTTTAATTAGAATGCATTTGAAAAAAAATTTTGCCACCCTTCTTGTTATTTTTTGTTGCGGACTTGGGCTCACACAGACCATATGCAAAAACAATGACAAAGATACTTGTAAATGTGATTTAGTTAACGGGTCCGGAGTTATTGATATCACGTTTGGAAATACAAATAGGACGGCGTTGTAAGTATGACTTTATTTTTTACTAAGCCTAATATTATAGTTATATATCGTGGTATATATCATGGATCAATAGAGAACCCATAACTTAGCGAATCCAGGTAGACTATTCAGGTTGAGAAGTGTGTACTCCCGTAGAGTGTGTGGTGTACCCGGTTAGGGTTGAGTCATAATTTTATTCCGATTTCTTTATTTCTGTGTTCTTTATTTTCTGTGTTAGCCAAGTGAATATACCACCTGTCCATAGGTTTCAGTTCCTATACACAACTTGATCTAAAGAAGGCGAACAAACCTTCATATTGGTACACACACTTCTGGAGCGCCGAAATGTGATCTCAAAATCCGGGACGCTTTCTCATTGTATTATAATATGATATTAGTCTACAAGAGCTTTTTATCTACAGAGCCTTCGATACACTTCTGACAACATTAAAGTTCGAGTGTAAAAAGTCCAGTGACCTTTTACAAAGGAGGCTATTCGAATCCATTACCACTCCTAACCGACTGCACCACGCTTTGTTATTTTTGGTTCTTTCTACGCACTTTTTGAATCTTGTTTGCTGGCTATATTATCAAAAAAAACTGTATTACGCAGAATCATGCAATATTCTAATTAACATACAAAGTGTACGGATGTAATAAAGCAGGAGCATTTTACAAATATTTACCTTTAGATACCACAGACCAAATCCACACGGAGGTCCGTATGTCTACGAGTATAATCCTTGTTTCGAATTCACGTCTATTGAGGGTTCAGTATCTGGACTTGCGGTAAGGCAATATGTTAAGTTTAATTAATCTTCTTTTTGTTATACGGATGTTAATTTTATTAGCTGATGAGAAAAAATCGTTTTCAGAAGTAGCCATTTTGGCGATAGTAACATTAGTGGCTTGTAAAAATTGTACCGCATATTTTTAAACTTCTATGACGATATTGCGCAGACGCTTCAGTATCGGGAGTTATATTTGCTCATTGTACGTGCCTCAATAATTTATTATTATATTCAGACCATCATGTATAGCGAATATCTGCATAATTATTATGATCTTGGTAAACAAAAGAACAGTACTTGGAAACTTGACAAAAATGGATCTCTGGTTGTGTTTTATACGTCGAACCAGTATGTAAGCATTTTGTAAGTATAGTTTCAGTTCTACCCACAGGTGTTGAAGAGAACTTGGCCGGATCAAAAAAATATATTTCATTAGTGTCGTGTTGATGAAATGTCAATATTGAAAATATATTCAATTAGCTATAAATCCAGCTGTCAAGAATGGTAAGTTACTGAGGTTATATTTGTGTTAGTGTACAAGACTTCAGAATCAGATAGAATAGATAGCAGAAAAAGGGTATATATATAGATAGTCTCTCGTAAATCAAACCAATATCTATGAGATTTGTATGTTGGTTAAAAAAAGTAAGATTATGATTTTGCATACGCGTAAGACCGCGAGGTCCCAAATATCGCAAAGTAGGAATTGTTTTTTGAAATATCGATTTGTGTAATTCGTCCGTAAAAAAATGGCCTCACACCTCCAGAATATTGCGACTCGGATCAGTGAAGTAAATTCCAGTATATTGCTTATTAAATCTTTGATATCTTTTATTTATCTATGTCTTTGTAATCTTATCAATACAAAAAAGCATCAATGATAAGATCATATTTAGTAAATAAATATATTTTTATATCAAGAACATCCACGGTGAAGATTGTGTGTGATCCACACGCCCGCATTAACAACATCACAGCACTGGGTTTTGATTCAACAATTGCCAATCACGTGAGTAGAAAATTTGGTGCGGAATTTCATAAATTTACATAAAAAGACATAATATAAATAAATCATGTATTTCAATTTACAGAACTTCATACTTTCTGGGCCTGCATTATGCCCGAAAAAAGAATACGGAGTGATGGGCGTAGGATACTTTTCAGTAGTTGGGTAAATTTTATTTTACATCCATAGTGGTCAAAATAGGCCGAAGAAACTTTGAAGAAAGAATCTATTTTATGTTTTGTCATTATCAAAATGTTCTTATATTTGTTTTTATCTTCAGAGCAATTGTTTTATTATCCATTTTCATGGTTGTTCGTCTCTCACGAAACAACGCAAATACAGATGAAAGCAGCAATGATTTTGCATCAGATGGTAATACTTGGTTCTCCTCTCTGTGAGAAGGGGATATCCGAAACATGTCATCAAATTCATTCTATCACGTGTACTTTTATAACATTATACCATAAAAGTTCAGGTTTTGAATATTCTAATTCCCTCAATCTCACAATATACGTTCTTCAAGGAAACAACTGCTTGAGTCGTGACCAACAGTCATATAGGCTTGCTTACTTTAGCTATTCATTAGTATTTTCATCTTATTAAATAATTTTTGATTGAAGCATATATATTTTGTTTTAAAATAATTATTTTTAAGTAAGTCGGGAATTATTTAATAGGCAGTTTATTCCATGTCGATCAATATGCAGAAGTATGAATTTATTGGTGACAGTAGAGACTTCACCAACGCAAATATATATATATATACATCTATTTGCTACATTGCGGTCACATGCTATTTTTTGCTGCAGTTGGGCTACTCGTTTTCTGTGGCATATAGTGAGTTACTCACAGCGTTATTTTTAGCGGTTTTCAATAAAAAAATGGTATGACAAAATTTCATGCAAGTAATACAGTTTGTTTAAAATATAGTCGAGTTGGTGCCCAATCGTCGTCACCCTATTCCGTGGCGAATACTTTTTTTTATCCTATTTGCGGGAATGAGGAACATCATTGAATATGGTCGACATCGCACAAGGAATATATATAAATAGATAAAGACTGGCTATTTAATCATTGTTCATCATTAAAAACGTTCGCGCTTCCCCTAAATGCTTTGGCCGCAAGGTAAATTAACCACAGGTTACAATTTGTACCCTAAAAGAGCCGAGATTGGTAGTTTTGGAATGTTTATGGCGTGTTTTAATAAATGTACCCGAATTACCAAGAAAACAAAACGTAAATGGGCGTTGCTTTGCAAAGGTTTTCTTATCACAGAAGGCACGGGGCCACTGCCCATCTCGTTGAATATATTTGTGAAAATTCCAAATAGACTGCATTTGGATTGCAATTTTAAGTATATTTGGATAGATTTCAACATAAGAAAGCTAAAAATGTTATTATCGATGAAACTCAAAAAAATTTTCTATCGTTTTTTGGCCATAACTTTTGATATATTTAATGAAAACCAATGATGTTAATACCAATCAATGGTATTTCAGAGACGCATACAACGATACTTGATGAGATTGAATTCTTAGAAGAGAAATTGAGAATTTTGAAGTTCGCAAATAAATGGGGTTAAAAAAACTAATTATCGCATATCGAAGTTACTATAGGATTTTATCGATTATCCCAATTTTGTGCGTTCGATGTCGTTTTTTTGTTGTATTCAAATATATTTGACTATAATAAGTGTATTACACGTGCCTTACATTACTTTTAGGCAAAATAAAAACTAGAAAATATCGATTCAAGATGGTGAGGGTCTCGAAATCGCCATAATTGTTAAGTTGTGCGATAATTTATTGTATTAGCAGTTGAAAGTATTTATATGAGCAAGTTAAAACTACACGTAGTATTTTGGTACTTTCCACCATTAAATCGAACCATCACTTGAATAATTATCCGTTCTTTAAAATGAAATATATTCTTTCAAATATAGTTACCATTTCTAGAAAACTTTTACCATTACCGGAAACTTTTCCCAATAAATGCAATATTTCGTGTTCTGATAACCGTAAGTTGCATAATTATATAATTTAGAGTGGAAAACGAAATAACTCAGGAGCGACTCTGATTTGCCGTACATAAACGTGTCCTAATTCCTACGTTGCCACAAGTCTCAGCAACAAGTTGTACCCCGTTTGTTTAATTACGAATGCTGTCGCTAAAGGAATAACATGAGCTTTTAAGTATGCCACAGTTCCAGTTCGTTAAAATAGATTTCAGAGCTAATTAGATCTTTTTAATCTGAATTTTAACTGTGCGTTCAATTTTCGATTTCAGGCAATATATTTATCTGAGTGGGATGTGTCGAAATTAGATCACATTGTATACGCCATTATAAGTGATTTGCTTATTTGATAGTCGGGAATTAGTTACGCCAGTTAATGTAATTAATATTATGTATTTACAACAATGTGAAAAATCCTAGTAAAAGTACACAGTAATTAACAATAAATATCACCATGACCGATATATATATCACGCACCAATTGACCAATTGAAAGATGCATTATCAGAAACTTAGAAAAGAGGGGCGATATTACATAATAGAAAATTTGAGTATCTTCAAGAGAGAATGTGAGAGTAAATCTATTTCGCATTTACTTTTAGTTTCACACAAATCGCTTATTCACTTCTTCATAAAGCATTAAAAAGATTAGGTACATAAATATTGAGTTCAAGAAATAGATACAGATGTTGAAAAAAGACATTTCTTGTCGATCACCAACATATTTTACCAGGCTCGCACCGATTTCGATTGTAGTTTTGTTGACATTCTCAAAATCAACACTCACTTGGAGGCCAGCTCACAATGTTTTATATTCATGAATGGTAATAGATAAACTTTTAGAGTGCAAAATAATTCTGGCTGATAAATAACTTCCCAATCATACCAACGGCCTGTGGATATTCGGCCATCTTGTCTTTTTTTCCATATTTGCTGAATATACTTTTTTCAGATTAACCATATGCTTTTTCTGGCAATATTTACTAGTCTTATCCTAACCGTTATTCTTCATTCTCCAAATACCATCTTTCCTTCCACATGTTTTTGAAAGACTCCGAATTATCTTATATACTGTAAAAGGAAGCACATATTTCTTCAATCATATATTGAACCTCTTAACGCCTTTCATTTATTAAACCCTCAAAATGGAAGCTAGGCACTTTGTTTTGTATTTGTTTTTTTAATGTTCCCAGGTTTGCTAGCAGAATTTCCCGTTCCATGATCTTCAAAAAGACTTACACGTTCAATGATCTCCTGTCGGCATCGTAATTCACCACATCTGCGATTAGGAAAACAAAAATTTAATTTATTTCGCAAGATAATATAAAATACATCTTTACAAAAAATTATTTGACTAAGTTAAAAATACATGACTGGGCCACGCTAACGTTATTTGATCTAAAACTCATCTTGAGCAAAAAATGATTTTGGTGATTTGGTTTGGGGAAATATAAAAAAGGTACCGGTATAAATGTTTGGCGCTCCAGAGGTATGTGAACCAAGATGGCGGACAGCGGTACGTAGTATGTGTACCAGGTTAGGGTTAGGCCATAATTGTATTCTAATTTTCCTTAGTTCTATTACAAGGTCGGGGACTAGCCAAGTGAGTCCCGTAGTATTTGTTCCTGAAATTATGGCCTAACCCTAACGTTGTACACATACAATAATGTTCCGCCATCTTGGTTCACATACTTCTGGAGTACTGAATGTTTTATATTCATGTATCGATATAGATAGGAACCAGTTTATGGGACGACGTCGCCTCTTTTTTGTTAGCTTTCAAGCAAAATATAAATGAAGTCGGCAATAAAAAGCATAAATTTGAGTTGGGTTGCGCGAGACTAACTTCCTATCTTTTCTCTATGCCTTTATGCTAGAAAAGCAAAAGAGATGACGTACGGTGAAATTCCATCGTTCTTTTCAGGAATTCCCAGTATATTTTAATACAGTTGTCAGTAAGATCAGGAAATTGTGGCATTATCATTATCTAACACAGGGGTTCTCAACCCGAGGCCCGTCGATGCATATTTTGCGGCCTCCAAAGTAGTTGTACCAGGGTTCGATTCAGGTTGTGCGCCATCTTGGTGCACATACTTCGGGAGCGCCAAAAATTGAGTTACTTAGCTCGCTCATCGCTTCCTCTGTCTACCTCCGGAAATGCGCTTTACAATAGAATAAAAGAATTATGTTGGAATATGGAATACCGTATTTTCCCGGCGAATGGGTATACCCGGTAAATATGACGAGGCCCGTTTTTAAGCATGAAAAATAGGTTCTTGCATATAACCTGCCAATAAGTCGGGGTAGTAGAATCGCGTCAACATCGGAATCTCAAATTACCATGCAATGCCTTTTGAGCGGTCGTCGCGTTTGCGCATTGGTTAAAATAATGCGACACCAAAAAAATGAAAATTACCATACTCGCCTAATAAGACGACCCCCCCAAAATCAACCCAAAAATTTGGGTCTAGAAAAGCGACTTATTCGCCGGGAAATACGGTATGTTACTGAATCAAAAATTTTTATCATATGTAATATTAGTTAATTTTCTGATTGAGCAATGCTAGAATGTACAGAATTGATTGGTTTGAAAAACTTAATCTTTAAGGCTCAAAACAAAAATTAATCAGGTGTCTATGAAACTAATGAATATTTGACATAATAATAGTTGTTCAATAAATTATATTCACATTCAAGTAACGAATTAAGGCTCAAAACAAAAATTAATCAGGTGTCTATGAAACTAATGAATATTTGACATAATAATAGTTGTTCAATAAATTATATTCACATTCAAATAACGAACTTTGGCAACTTCATTCACTTCAAGTTGTGGCAAACAGTGATATTATATCCAGTCGTTGAAATAAAACTATTACTATGCAACTTACTAAATATTAGTTGGCAGAACAAAACAATATAATAAAGTTTTTATATATGGTCCATTGATCTGATATATCAGCAAACCCTGAAAAGAAACTCTAAACTTTTAATAATATCACGAAAAGACTCTATTCTGTCTCTCTGGAGAGGATTATCATGTGTGCTCCATGTAGTCTCGTGGCTGTCATAATTAGATAGCGAGATACTTTGCACACGTGAAGTGATATCCCCATCAATTCGAATAAATGTGGGAAATCCTTGCCAAGTACGGTAAGGCGAGCAAGATCCTTATGCACAAACTGAATTCATCCTTTATTTGAATCGATAACTAAAACCGACTTCTCATCGCTCCTGACTCAGCAGATACATACTATATATGACGTAATAGGTCCAGTCTGCAAGTTTGCACACTTAGGGTGAAATTTACCATAACACTATCCCAAATTCCAGATATATATGTTTCCGGCGAATTATTGGAATACAATACGATAGTGAAAATTTTCTTTCTGTTAATCTTCAAATGCTTGTCAAAAGATAATCGGGTTTAAAAAGAGAAATCATGATATATATATATATAATATATTTGTAGCCCCAACTTAGCAAAAATAACTACA